CCGCCACCTCATAACCTGCGGAAGGAAGCCACTTTCCCAGAGGAAGGGTCGCTGCCCGCCCCGCTGGATCCGAGCCCGTCCCCGTGCTGTAGGCAGGGTGCCGGGCAGCTCCCGGTGCCCGCAGAGCTTGGTCCCTGCCCCAGATCAGCCCCCGGCTGCCCCTTACCGGTCTCCTTTTGATCTGCGTTTCTGGAGGCTCTTGCCTTTGGGTCTCCTCTCGCTGCCGATGCAGAAGACACCCCCTGGGCCGGTCACCCGAATGGATTCCAAACCTTTGGACGACTTCTTGAAGGTGAACTCGACAGCTTCGCCTTCCTTCAGGCTGCGGAAACCCTCCATGTGGAGCTTGCTCTGGGGGGGACACAGGGAAAGGATGGGGGTCAGCACAGAGCTGGGGTGTCCGCCGGGCACATGAGAAGCCCCAACCCAGCAAACACCTCCTGCGGCACAAGAACTGCCAGCGTCCCCCATGCCTGCCCCTTGTGAGGGGACGGGTATTGGGGACCGAGCTCAACCAGGCACCTTCGTCTCCCTAAAATCTCTGGAGCCCCGTTTGATAGCGCAGAGCCTTTAGTGAGCTGAGACACCTGGTTGAGTAGGGCTCACTGATTTGGCAAGCGAGGGCCAGCAGAGCCAGCTCTGAGCCAAATTTCAACAGTATTTGCTGCAAAACACTGTCTCTCAGAGCTGCAAAACAGTCCCTTCCTCCCACCAACACACTGGGCTGGGGACCAAGAGCTGCTCCTGCACCTCCTGACACCCCGGGCTGGGGATGCTCAAGGGGAGATCCAAGAACATCATTTTTAAAAGACAGAAGGATCTTGAGGCTTTGCACAGGCATGTGCAATCCCCCTTGCTTCCCTGCAGAGGAGCAGGACCCGTGGGACGTGGGCTGGATCCCCTAAACACAAAGCAAGACCGGGAGGCTGGGAGCCGGCGCTGCCAGCATGGGGTCCTGGCCAGCCCCCTCACTGCAGCTCACCTCGGTTCAAGCCCTTTAATTGCCTCCAATAATTAATTAAGCAGCCATTTAGCCCTGGATTGTCACTGCTGGGAGCATCTCCTGTCCCTCCCAGGGTCACCACATCGGTCATCACCACACAATCAAACTCAGGACTTCAGAAAGACCCAGGCTGGGGAGGGGGGTTGTGAGATGATAGAAAAATCCACTCCACTTTCATGAGCTCTGTCCATTTTAGCAGAACAAATTGATAAGGAGCCGAGAGAGGCGATGCAGCC